CAATGAAAGGAAATTATGGGATCTGGTTTCTATCATGGGTGCCTGCCTCTGGCTCACTAGGAGGCTTCACCCAAATGCTTTCGCTTCTTTGTTTTCTGTGCAAAGAGGAATCATATTCTTTTCAACTGTGATCCTGAGAAACAATTACTCATAGGTAGCTATGGGTGATTCAACTTCCTAGAAATTGTTACTGAATTTGTTTGGATTCACCATCTATTAATTGCATACATTTTTATTTTTAATTCAATACAAGCTACGAGGAAAGAAGTATTGAGTCTCCATACTTCAGCATTTAGTTACTAAGCAAACATACAGTTGGCAGCGTTGAGAGTCAGGAGAGAGAATGAATACATTGAACATTTGGAGTTTTTACAATGCTGACTCTGACCATGGGTTTTATGAAACAAAATTTAGGTCACTTCCCTGCTTCAAATCCTTCCACAGGATAAGATAGCCATCCATTGTGTTTCATGACCAGGTCCTGTAAAACTTCCATCTCATTTCAGAGACCTGCTCTCATTTTGTCTGGTATTAATACAACTGTCATTTCCCTGTTTAGTTGTGTTATTGTTTTTATCAAATTCTCTGTGTCCTATTGTTTATGTATCTTCCTTAAACGGAGCATAAAGCTAGAATTCCCGCCCCCCCCCCCCCCCTCCTGCTTTACCCTTGTGTGTGTATGTATGTGTGGGTGGGTGTTAATTGAGATTTTTTAATTTTCTACTGGCTAGGACATTAAAGATTACATTTCTATTACTCTTAAAATGATGTCAATGCATACCAAACAAAGTAAAGATATTAAATATCTCTACTCTTCACAAGAAAAGTTCAAAAAAACATAGAAAAAATATTTTCAATCACTTCCCTGCTTCCTATGTGTTATTGGTATAGGTACTGACATGGTGGGTACTAATATCATCATGGCCTCACCCTTAGGGCCTTGTCTATACCTCATTTTCTCCCAAACCCTCCTCTCTAAATACTATCGTATGGGGATCAGGATCAGGCTCCAACATACATTTTCAGGAGACATAACTTAGTCATAGTTCAAGGTAATTCAATTAAGAAAGTACCATTTTTTTTTTCAAAAACAAAAAATAGTGCTGAAAAATTGGATAGCCATGTGCCAAAAGAAAGAAGGGAACGTGTACTTTCTTACCATATTAACAAAAATTCTAAAACTTTAAAAGTAGAAGAAAAAACATACATTTTTAAAAAGCATGTGTGTGTGTGTGTGTGTGTGTGTGTGTGTGTGTGTGTGTACCTGCATATGCATGCATTTGGGAAATTCTTTGAGTCTGAATTTGTTCCTTTGGTTGTATCAAGGATTCCATAGATAATTTTTGTATTCAACTGATGGTACCCACGGGAGTCAAAGATTGAAAGAACAACCATTGTTTTCAAGGTCAGATCAAATTTGGGCAATCATTCTTCATTCCCTTTGTGAGACCGCGGTAACTTGTCTTGGTAACGCTGGTGCTAAAAATGCCTTTTTGTAGACAGGTAGTTAGAGTGCCATAGGAACTCATTTTTGACTGTCAAAACCAAAATTATTTGCAGGCCATAGATATACACAACCTTGAAGGCTGATGCCTCACTTAAGTGTTAAATCACCCAAAACGATTATCTTGTCTTCCTTTTATGTGAATTCGGGAGCGCGCAGCTATTTAAGATTCCTCCTCTGGCGGAGTTCTATGAGGAGCGTTGCATTTCCTTGGCCGTCCTGGAAGGAACCAGCTCAGTATTTTACCATTAGACTTTGTAAAGCTGCTTTGGGTTCTTTTTTGAAAAGTCAGATTGAAGCCCGGGGAACAGACTCTGATTTCGCACTGTGATATGGCACGTTCGCCCTCTACTCTGCATCGTTAAGCATGCGCGAGCAGGCGGTTCTAGAGGGTCCCAGAAGGGCATAGGAATAGAAGAAAAACAGGATTCGTTGTGCCACGAGAAACAGTCATAGTGCACCTGTGGGGGAAGCAATCACTGACACAGAGCTCAGCTCGTCTTGGGAGGCTGATGCTGATAGATGGTGAGGCTGGCACACGCTCTGAATTATGAAATGAGAGGAGATAGTGGACAAAGGAAGACAACAGCAACGGTAACTCCTCATGTTGGGCGCTCACATCCATCAGAGCCGTGTGGAGTGCTTCAGAGGCGGTCCCCGTGCCAAGAGAATCCATTCATCAAGCAAGGGCTTGACCCAGGCCACTGCCTCCAGAAAGCAGCTTTTCAGTTCGGTGCTGGCAGGTGCCCTGTCCCGCACAGGAGGACAGTCAGGCTTAGCCTTTCATTGAGTCACATTTTTTAAACTTAAACTTCTTCTAACGCCACTTCTTCAACATAGACTCCCCCGGGCCGTGGTATTTTGTGGAAGAGCTACACACATATAAGGGGCCAAAGAGCCACATGTGGCTTGTGAGCTGCAGTTTGCCGACACATTGAAGTCAAAACGAAGTAAATTGTGATTAACAGTATCAACGTTAAAGCTGGTTAATGTTTCTAGGCTCTATCACATTTCCACTATATTATCCTGCATCTGTGATCATATTTTTCATGCATTCGTTCATTTGTTTGTTTACTTAACAAGTGTTTGTTGAGCACCTGACCCCATGCTTTCTTCTGGGCTCAGGGGTACCAGAAAGCCACACTCAAGGTTTACAGTCCAGTGGGGAGAGATGGTCAACCAGCGAATGAGACAGTCAGTGAGGTGTTAGTGGACACAATGAGGACACACGAAGCCTTGTCAGGGGCCGGAGAGGATGGGACGAGGGGCGCACTTAGACTTTCTAGGTGAGGCGGTGAGTGCAAAGAAATGAGTAGCTGCCAGGGGTCATTGTATGATGCTTGTCACTTCCTGTCGCAGGGATCTTGACTTCTTGGTCTCTGTGACCTTGAACTGAATCTGAGTTTTATATTGTTGTGTTTTTGTGTGTTTTTTTTCCCCCCTAGTATATGTTTGACATAAAACCTCCCATTTCACTGCAGAAATGATTTTATGCCGGTTTTATTTCATATTCTGCTTGTGTGATTATTCCACAAGACAAAATGGCTAATTGTTTACTTTATGAGTATGTATCCAGGGTCGCTGTCTTAACGAGATGAACAAATGCTTGGACTTCAGGGAGAGTGTGCCCTGCCCACAATTAAGTGAAAAAAGGGTCCTTCACTGTCATTCGTCCTTGATGAGGGATATTAGTTCTTAGTGTCAATCCCGTGAGAAAGCAGTGGGGATGTCAGGAACGAAGTGCTGATTTCAGTTGAACACTTATATTCCAGAGTGTCTGATGCTCAGATAAGGGCAGCTTGTTTTTGCTTGACTTTAAAAGCCGGCACTCTCCTCCCCAGTGGTAATTAAAAGTAAAAAGCACTCATTAGCTTACTGTTGGCTTGTAATGGCCACCACATCGCCTCCTCACGTGAATAATTTACTGATCGTAAGCAAAGCAATTCAACATAGAAATTACCTGGAAAATTAAAAACCATTCTAAGTAATGAATAGTTTTAATTTCTGTAGCACCAATTGATGTTCCGTTTTTCTATTTCATGCATCCTTCTGCACGTGTACAACTTGCTGACAAACATGGTCTGATAAGGACACCACCTCTAGAACTGTGGGCAAAGCTGCTTCTGGGCTTAACTCTATAGACTCAGGGCAACATTCATGCATCCAGTTATCCAATAGTTATCAAACAGCTTCGTTAGGCAAGGCATTTCCCAAAGGCCTTGGGGAATAAAAATAACAGCTAATGGTCTCTGCCCCCTAGAGGATTTATTACCTAATTGGGGTAATATGTTATTCTAATTCTGTCCCTCGAATTGAACTGTTGATATTATAATTGAGTTAGCCAGTCTTGTGCGGTTGAGTATTTAGAAAGATCTATGCTTGCTCTAAAAGGCCTGTGTTATACCCCCTCAGGATAAATACTTGTTTGTATTTCTGATTATTTGTTTGGATCCCTACCAAGAGAGGAACTGGGTCAGAGGACATGAATGTTTTAGCCTAATTAATTTGAAGAAGTTAGGCAACATAAGAAAAAATGGTTGCTACCTTCTCTGTTGCTACAGACACTGGACACCGCCTACAGCTCTAAGTGTGTGTCCCTGGCCACTGATTTGTAAACTGTCTTCAAAATGGTTCAACCTTTTCTCATTTTAAAGGCTAACATATGAACTATTTCAGTGCTGACAAGAAATTGTCAACTGACATCAATAGTTCGTGTCTAACATGAGCTCACCGAGGTTTTTTCTTGCTTAAATATCTGGAATTTTAGAGAATTAAGAAGTCATAAAAAGCACTGATAGATGGCTTGGGAAGGTTCTGTGACTTAAAATAAAAAAAGATTTTTTTTTATTTTAAATATAAAAATAAAACTGACCAACAATTGAATATTGACTTAAAAGCAAAAGTTAGGAAAAAATAGATTACTATTTTGTTAGGGCTTATTAAATTTCATAAAAACATAGATAGGGTATTCATACTTAGGGTAAATTAAGTAGCAAAACATTGATGCTAGTGTATTTAAAAAATGTTTTATTGATTTTATTTTATTTAATTAATTTTTTTTTTTTTTAGAGAGAGAGAAAGGAAGAGGGAGAGAGAAACATTGATGTGAGAGAAAAACGTCAATTGGCTGCCTCTTCATGTACCTCAACCGGGGAACTGAACCCACTACCTGGGCATGTGCCTGGACCTGGAAAAAAACCAGTGACCCCTTGGTGCATGGGATGGCACTCAACCAGATGAGTCACACTGGGCAGGGCAGTGAATTTTACTTAAGCACAGACTCCTACCTACAGAATTGGGGGGGGGGGGGAGCGGGAGAAATGGTGTGGATGGGGTTCTGAATTACTTAGCATGGACTTTTTGGCGTAGCATGGAGGTTAGCCCATAACCATCAGTTGTATCTTTGTAACAGCACTTTTGCCTTCCTAATTTGGTTTGCCTGGCTATTCGCTTTCTTTTATGTCCTAACCTCCTTGGCTGTGCTGTTTCTTCCTAGAACCATGGGACACAAAAACCGCTATGTCAAGGTGCCTCGTGGTCACATCTGGGTTGAAGGCGATCATCATGGACACAGTTTTGACAGCAATTCTTTCGGGCCGGTAAGTCACCTTGTTGCTGTCGTCATTGGATGTCAAAGGTTGGAGCGAATGTGTGTCAGACTGTTCACTCAAGGAATCCTGCTAAGACTGGTCATGAACCTCCCAGTGGAGCCATTGGTGTTCCATCATTTCCTTTTGAGTAGTCGAGATGGGTCATTGAAGCCATGATGTGTGTGTGTGTGTGTGTGTGTGTGTGTGTTGCATAGAGGAGAACGCAGATGCTTCCATGAAGCATGAACAGGTGCTTCCAGCTGACTGACTGATCCCAGTAGAAGGGCCTTTATTTCCCCCCAGAAATGCTTTGTAGCTTATGTTTTCAGTTAGTGTTTAACTTGATAGAATATATAAAAGACCCGTAGGCCTCAGTTTTCTGCACCATTCCTTAGACATGCAGGCATCATGGAAGTCACATTGCTAAGAAACACGCTGTCAGCATCAAATTATAGCAGAAATGCATAAATTAAAAAATATATAACAGAAATGCAGATGTTTCTTATGCCATGCTCATAGTACATAAAATATGTGACTAAATGGATATTATACTGAGTGGCCAGATTATTATGATCTCTGAAGGCATAATAATCTTAACACTCAGTGTACTTCTCTTGAGTACCTCATTTATTTGATATCAATGATACTATAAATTGTGCACCTGATCAGTTTTCCCTTTGCACCAGCTGATAGAAAGCTCAGGGCAAATAAGTGGTTGATCTCCAGCAAAAGTCTAGAGAACTTTGGTACCCATTGGAGATACAAAAACACTGAAATATATATATATTTCTTCAATTTGAACATGTACAGAGATTCTCTACTTATAAACCACCACAATAAATCATTATGTAAAGCAAAGAAATATTAGTTACTAGGAATTGCACCTGATTTCTGGTTATCTATGTCTGCTTAAAAACTTGGATATTCACCAAGTAGGTTTTCTTAAAGTGAGTCATATCTATACTTAATATTTATGTGTAAGTTAGTATTGAACACCTTCAGATAGGTTTGCAAAAGGGTGTATCCCCAGATTGTTGTCTAAACTGACTGTTGGTAGTGTAATTGTTGAAATCTATTTGCATATTGTGAGTGATCACATTGCAGTCACCTTACTCACCTTGGGCTGTAAGTACAACCACTTGGATGCACTTGGATCAGAACTATAGGTAAGTGGAATATCTTCAGGAGATTACTTCTTCTAGTTGGACAGACAACACAAACTTCTGAAATAGTCATTATTTCACAAATATAATTGGCTCTTTGTATCTTGTATCAAAGTGGGACAAGCAGATTGGAAACGGAGATCACCCGCGGTATAGAAGTGATTGCTGTGAACAAATCCAGTAACAACTTGAAAGTGAAAATAAATCACCTAAAAGCAGCTTTACTTCTCTCTCAATGAGATTAAATCCAATTTCACGTATCAGTTTGGACCAATTCTATACCAAAATGTTAGTCAACTTTAGTTAAGGTTTTAATTGGTTTTCATTTTCAGCAACTCTGCAATGGAGTGTTAAAAACCACTATTTTGCTATTGGTTGTGGGATGTGGGACAAGAGTTAGAGATGGCTTTGTTTTCTGTTTATTAATAAGTTAGTCCATGCAATATTGTTTAGACAACATTACTCATAGTGAGTTGTATTCCACGTGCCTTCTTGTTGTGGGATAGAAGCATTGAGCTCAGTTGCATGCAACCCTCAGTGTCCGTCCATGGTGCTGCTTGCTCTTCCTGGGTGTCTTCTGAGCCATTGAGCTAAGAGTTTACCCAGGAGTGTGTATCAGGCGTGGACACTTCCATCTTAGAAAAAAGAAGGCGAGAACCATGTGTGAAGGACAATTTCATTGTTTATTACAATCAAAACTACGCAGGCTAACTACTGACAACCATGTGGGATGTCACGCTTTTAAAGGAAATCTACTTGTTAATTACAACTTGAGCCAGTAATGTGAGACTGAGACACAAAATGACTTTGAAATTGAGTGATGCTTTTCTTCCATTCTTAACGGCTATGTATTTACGGCTATGTCTTTTGGTTTATGGGTTGGACAAGCTATCAATTTTCATTCACTTAACTAGCTTTTCTTTTTTTTTTTTCTTAGTCAAAATTAGATGAAGAAAGTTTTTGAGGATTAAAGAAAACATTTGTTACATATGTATTAACCTATTTGTGTTTGATGAGTTATAAGTACATAATTTTACTTTAATCATGAGCTCTCATGTACTGTGTTTCAACAGCGTTTATGCCTAGGACAAAATAATTAACAATATTAATATTGATGTTCCCCAACAAGTTTAAGAGGACAGGGGAGGGGGGCGAAGTGAAATAAAACCCTGCAATCCTGATTTAAAGCTAATCGGTGATGTTTGCTGTACAGAGAATTCTTATTGCATTTTTTTAATGAAACCAATTCTTATCTGAACAATTTGTTAATTGTTTTAAAGTTTTTATAATTCAAAAAAAACCCTAAAGTTTTCTAATTCTAAAAATCTAAAATAATCTTGAATTTTGAAGTGCAGACAGACTTGAGAATTATTCTGTTTTCCCAGTAGCTTTCAGTTTGTGTTTTTTGGTTTATGGAGAGCGCCCTTGGAGAGTGTACCTGGGAGGTCAGTAACTTTTCTACTGGCCCATCTCTTCCTGCCCTTGAGAAGAGGGAATGCACTTTTCTGGATGTAAGCTGCCTTTCTAGATGCAGCTGGGATGGTCTCCCGGATGCTGATCTTGACTTTGTGGAGATTGATTGAAGTCTTTTCCTTTCATTTTTCCTCCTGAGTAACTTCCGCAATGCATCCACATACAGTGGGCATGCTTCGACTCTTTGAATAGTCAATGTCCTTTATCATGGAATCTACCCAGTGCATTTGACACCATTGCCCTCTGGCAATCACAAGGGGGCTGACTTTCTCCATACTAAAGTAGACTTAGTTCTTGTCTAAAGAAGAATAAGAAAAACAATGTCTCATTCTGTATGTTTTTTCCTAGTGTGTTATTTCCCACTTGTTTTTTAAGATTTGAATTTGCATTTCTGATTGGCTCATTGCCACGATGCGTAAGCCCTCAATGGGATTTAACAGTTTTACAAGTAAAAGTTGAACAATGAGATATGAATTTAAAAGAGCAATGTGGTGTTATAGAAATTGACAACATTGCAACAGAATAAGTCCTGACTCCTCTCCTTCTAGCTTGTTGGGATGAGAAACTGGTAGGTGCACTTAGGATCACAGATGATATGTTACAATAAAACAGAAAATCATGCCGTCTGGTTATGGACCTCACCAGTCACTCACTTAGCATGGGGTTTCATGGGCTTATGTCAAAAAGGAAAAGTTTTCTCCTCCCCAAATCCATCTTACATAGACTGTTGATCAAATGAGCACGTGTGTGTGTGTGTGTGTGTGTGTGTGTGTGTGTGTGTGACTAGATAGGAAATGTTTCCATTATGAGTATATCTTTATGGAATATCTTGGTTCTAAGCCTCTTGAATATATATATATATGTATATTCATCACATGGTGATAGAAAACACCCTATCTTCCTTCTCATAAGAGAAATTTTCTATCAAATGGCTTGAGCTTAGATTCTTAGTGTGAAAAATAGCTTTTGTACGTTTTCTTTAAAATTATAATTATCTGAAAGTGTTTCCCAGGGCCTATTGCCATTTGCATTCACTGGATTATATATTAAAGAGTAGAGGCCCATTACATGATATTTGTGCAAGAATAGGCCTTCCTTCCCCTGGCTTCGCTTCCAGCCACCCAGGAGCCAGCAAACCCTCACTCCCAGCCCGTCCAGGAGCCAGCAAGTCCTCACTTCTCTCTGGAGCACTGCTCCTGTAGCTCCCTCTGCCGCCCCTCCCCTGACATAGCAAGTGTCCCGCCCCTTCCAGCCGCTCAGCACCTGCATATGCAAATTAACCCATCATCTTTGTTGGGTTAATTTACATACTTACTCTGATTGGCTGTGGGCATAGTGGAGGTACAGTCAATTTACATGTTTGTCTATTATTAGGTAAGATACCTGATGATTCTGATATGGAGGGAGATGGTTGCTTGGAATGTCGGATAAGCACTTCTTTTGGGAAGTCCTGTGCTCTGTGAAGCAGATTAGGGTCTTTCTCTTCCCCATCACTGCTTCCTGTAGAGGATACAGAGACACTGTTTGCCAGCATCCAGAGCAACTGCTTATAATAAATACTACACATCTTACGCATCTTCTGCTTGCTTTCAATTGAAAGCACATAAAAAAGCAAATTTTCTGTTTGTGTGTGTACATGAATACTGTGGATTTTCAAATAGTTACTTTTAATTATTTCCAGTGAGCTACCTCTGCTTCAATTAAAAAGACGTGCCATAGGTCTTCCTCCCATTTATTATAAATACCCATTCCAGTACTTAATGTTTGAAATGTTCTCATAGATATTAATTCCTTTTGGTAAAAACACAAATGGGACTCTCCGCAGCCTCCATGTAGCTGGTGCATTTTCTGTCTTTGATGTTTTCCTGTCGTTTTTATCTAGTTTTAAGTCACAAGCCACTGAGATATTTTCATCATTTGGGGTCTACTGATTTGTTATAAGGAATATATGTTTTCACAGAAATTCTAGTTATTTAGTATCTAAAATAAATATTTTTACTTCACTGCCAAAGGACATTAGGAAAAAATCACAACACAAAAAAACAAATTTGCCTTAAATATTTCAGATAACCTTTCCAAATGTGGGAAAGTATTTGATCCTTAGGTTTGTGATCACAATGTCACCTTGTGAACGATTTGTGTTCTGGAAGCATGAAGCAGAGCTGAACAATTTGTGTGCAGAAGCTATGCCTGATGTATTGCCTCCCTCTGAGCATGGGAACTGCAGGTCACACTAAATAGGAATGCTTTTGAGTCCTGAGTCACTTGCAAAAGGTCTGATCACTTGTTTTATGGACATCTAATTATTAAAATAGTAGTCCCCCAGGGTGTTTTCCTGAAGCAAATATGCCCAAGAGATGATAGTTTTAGACT